CTGTGAAGGAGACTGATGTGTCTGTTCTCCCAAAACACCAGCAGAGATGCTGCAAGGAGAGCAATTGTGACCAAACAGTTTACATGACAATAAATTACTCAGCTCTGATGTATCATGCTGTCACATTTCTCATCTGCCCAGTTTGAGGCACTGGATGAATTTGTGCTGTGCAGGCAGCTGTCACTTAGGGGACATGGGAATGGTCAGCCTATACTTGTTGGAAAGAGTTGATTCCCTGCTATTTCACTCCCACTCTCCCACCATTTCCTATACTTGTGTGCCTCCTCAGGAATGCCTCTGGACAAGAAGAGCTCCTGGTCTGTGCAAGGAGAAAGAAGAAGGCTGTTCCAAGACAGTGTCCTTTGTCTTCGAGCATTAGTGATGGGAAATCTCCCAGGTAAACATTTCCAAACAAAACCTCCTGCTGCGGACTTCCCATTCTCCTAGCTCCTGGATGAGCAAAAACTAAAAGGCAGTGGGAGAGATTCCCTTTGGCTAAGGCCTGTATCAGGGCTCTGCCTGATGGTCTCTAGAATCACACCCATAGCTGGGTGGGCATATGTGCTCAGTTCCAAATTAAACTTCTATGCCTTGGAAAACGTTTGCTGGAAGTTGCTTCTTGTAACCCAGGTGTCTGCTCTGCTCCTGGGAGATGACTGGGAGTTCTGTAAAGTAGGCCACTGGGTACTACCGATGTAACCTGGCACTTGGCCTGCAAATGCATCCACACATATTCAGTTGGCTACCTTGGTTTACTGACAGCAAATCATTTGACCTCTTCTGTAGCATCCCTGCAGATATTTTGGGAACAGAGAAATATGAGGTTCCACCATAGGGAACTCTTCTTGCTTTGGTTTCTTGCCACGGCAGGAAGCACAAGAGCAGCAGTGTTGAGCAGTAAAGATTTCCCGCTCTTCAGAAAATGAACGCTGAAAAATCCTGTTGCTTTCTCAGATACAGAAAGTGGAACCTGGGGCTGATGCAGAGCCACCTCAAGTTCCCTGTCTGTCTGTCTTCTGGGAAGGATTTTTGTCCTCCCTTCTCCCCCCAGCTTTTGGTCTGATGCAGCTGAGGCGGCAAGGAGCACACCTTGGGGAAAACTGTCCAAAACAAGAGGCAGACTCCTGGAGAAGAGTCTTTCCCTGAGCTCAGACAGATGCTTCTTTAAATACCAACAGAGCCCTCTAGAGCGCTCACCCTGCAGGCCAAGTTCCCTCACAATATCTTCAGGATTCACGCTGCTGGCCCAGCCACGGCACGGCGGCGTTTCAGCACTTTTTACGGCACGCCTGACACCGTGCCTGAAAGGACGAGGCTTCCTGGATAAACGAACGTAACTTTTCTTAGGCATCTTCTCTTAAGAAAGCAACTTCGGCTTTTTGGCCACGCCGAAACGTAACGCTGCCGTTTCGGAAGCTTGCACGCGGCCGCCCAGCACCCACCGCCTCACAGCGCCGTCGGGGCGGGGAGCCGCGGCACTCCCGCGGTGGGCGGGCTCCCGTCGTCGCGTCCGGGCTGCGTTTGCGGCCGGCGCCGGTCGGCGGTACGGAGCCGCGGCCCGGCTTCGCTCCCCGCGCCGCCATGGGGGTGCTGCTCTGGCTGATGGTGCAGCTCGGCGCGGGCTCCGCGGCGTTTGTGGTGTACGTGGATGTCCGGCGAGCCGAGCGGCCCCTGAGGCACTTTTGGAGGAGTACAGGCTTTTGGTAAGCGCGCTGTCCTGCTGCGGGCCCGGGCTCCGGCGGCGGGCCCGGTGCCGCGGGCGAGAAGCGCTGAGGGGTTCAGCATGCCCGTGGTGCGCCGGCGCTGCCTGTCCGGAGGAGCCCGCTCCCGCCGGCCTGCCGATGTGGGTCACGCTGCGTCGCGGGGTGGGCCGCCCGCCCTGCTGCTGAGCTGTTCGTCGGCCCCCGAACGCGTCACGTCCTCCCTCCTGCCCCCAAGCAGCGTGAGCTGTTCCTTCCTGTCAGTTCTGCCAGTTTCTCAGAGCGGGGTCAAAAGCGAGAGGCGGCGTGTTCCGCAGCCCGGTGTAAATTGACTGTGGTCTCTGCCGCTTAGGCACGCAGTGGGTTAAGTGGCAGTTGTGAGGCTGAGTGTCACAGCAGTGTTAGGTCAGCAGCCTGCACTTAGCTTTAAAAGGAATTTTTTAATACAGTGCTTAAGGCGACCCTGAGAAAAGAGTTGGAAAAATTTACAGTGTTTTCTCGTGTCAGCGGAAAAAGGCCTAAGATCAGCTAGTGTATGTTAATCTAAAAACAAGCTTATGAAGAGAAATTTTGAGCTTTCTGGATTTTCATCTTTTGTTTGTAATTTCTACTTGCAAGGTAAAAAAACGTTTAAGAAAAGCTGCATTACATAATACACTTTTCTCATTTAAACCACAACCCGAGAAACACTCAGGCATTTAATTATGTGAAATAAATTTTATAAGACTGCAAGTGTGAGAAAGATGTCAGTGAGGAGACCAAGGAGCAGAAGGAGCGGCTCTACGACCGGCTCTATCAGCAGCTATTCAATTATGCTGTAATACCTGGCCAACAGTGTTAGTGATGGATCCCTTGAACAGCCACTCTGGGTCCAGTTGTTGGGCACGTATGCAGCTGGAGATCAGTGGATAACAAAGCCTGAGAGGTTTCAAGCCTTAAAATTTTCGTTGATGAGTGCTTTCAATTCAGAAGAGGAACCAGAACTAACTAACAAAAAATGCTGGTTTTCCAGCATCCTGTTCTGTCTTGTCATGGTCATAAGGTTTCTGTCCGGCAGTGTGAATTTCAACATTTTTATTCAGCATGGGCAATGCCTGTGAATGCTTTATGCCTTGATTTCTGTCTAGTTTGCCACTGGGTGAAACAGTGCATTTGTGCAAGTTTGAATTTCAGTGTAGTCATAAAACACTCCTTCAGAATCCAGCAGTTGATACTGTCCTTATCCATTGGAACAATGAAAACCACCCAGATGACTGGTACATTTCTAGACAAAGTAGAATCCGTAACTTCTCAGTCTTGCGTGTGACTTGAGGCAGTCTTTGGGAGATGGCATTTTAAGTGCCTTGTATGCTAATGAAGTTGTACAGAAGAGCTCTCATATGCTAGCTGATCTGCATGAAGCACTGCAGGAATGTAGTATGTGCCAAGACTTAGCTTTCTAATAAGAATGCAGGAGATGGGATGGTAGTGTCTGTGCTAGGACATGTCAAGTCTTTTTCAAGGTGGGTTCAGGTTTTTCTGCCTTCAGGCACAGAAGTCTGTACAGTATCAGGATCATTCAGTAACTGCAGGAGGTGAGATTAACTTAAAGAGGGAGTAGGGAAGGAGAAGATGACAGTTCGACTATCTGCAGTATAGTTAAAATAATATAGCTCAGAAGATGCTGAGAAGATGCTGCTACCATTAGCAGCACCAGTATCTACTGCCAGTGATGGAGGCTGAACAGACAACTTTGGGAATCCTTGCAGAAAAGGGTAATCCTGGCAGAAAAGAGTAATGTGTAAAACTTACTGCTAAAAGGAGAAATTTGAAGTCACACAACCTGTTTGGTAGCATGGAAGGGGTAGTAAATTTGGAGCCTGTCTCATCTACCCATCAGAAGAGACACACAGTAGGCCAAGCGTAACTTTGTTACTCATCTATACAGTAACTATGCTATCTGTAAACAGTATAGTATAGTACAAGTTGTCTCCTCTTGCTTCAGGAAGATGTACAGAAGTATTTTACCAAACTTTGGAAACAATTATGTTTTTATCTTTCTTGTAATGTAAACAGTTCAAAACTCAGAATTTGCAGATTCCTAGCAGTCTAATTGAAAGTGGTGAAAGATGCACAAAGCCAGTGAACAGAGCAGTGTTCTAAGTTAATGTTCTAACTTGAGGAGAACGAGGAGTGAGATCTCTTTCCATCTTGCAGTTATTTCTCTGCGGAGGTAAAAGCAGCAGGAATTTGCTCTGGTGTTCCTTAATTTTGGTGGAATAATGTGGCACTGAATTAATATTAGTATGATCATTGTTATGCAATTTAACGTGCTCAAGGCTTGCAGCATCATAGAAATACCAAGCTTCATACTCCAGTACTTTCTTATGCTTCAAGGTGAGATGAGGTGTGATGAATGCTTCTCACAGATGTAACTTTCACAGCAGAGCAAGGGTTGATGTCAGCGCATAGACTTCAGCAGGAATATCAACCCAGTATTTGCTTTATCACAGTCTTGAGCACACCTGGCTCCTGCTCCAGAACCTAGAAGTCACTGTGCTTTTTTTATCACTGGTTACTCAGAAGTAAAGTGATTGCCACTGCATAGCTACTTCATGCCACCTCTGACTGAAGCTGTTACCTGAGGAGCAATGACTGCTTGTGATATTTTAAGTGTGGCAATGAGTTGTACCTGATTTTTGTTCTGCTTTGCCACATCATAGGTCCAACTACTTAGCTTCCGTTTCACTCTTGTCCCTTGTTAAGACAATATTCCTTATGCCAGATAAGATGATACATGTTTACCACAGGGAGTTCTGAATACCCAGTGGATCTGATAGCCAATGTTGTAATACGTTACTTCTTTTTTGCTCTTTTTCCAAAGCCCTCCTTTACCTCACAGCTCTGCTGACCTATTTGACCTAAGCAAAGATCAAGAGATGAACCTTGCATACATTTCTTCTGTTCCTCATGATGGCATTGAACAAGTTCGAATTCACTGGTTACTGGAATTGATTACTGTCAGGTAAGCAAACATTTCATGTCAAAAATCTAAAAAAAAAAGAGTTGTGACTTACTAAGGTGCCGAGCAGTTGCTCACTTTGGCAGTTCTCACAATTTAACTGCAGACTGGTTGTGTTTTTTGTGTTCATGGAAGTCAGATAATGGCCAGTAGATTGGAATAGTTTGGGGGTGTATGAGTTCAGGAAAGAGAGAGATTGTCTTGAGTAAGATGGGGCTAACTTGCATGCATTTTGTCCTAACAAGAGGCTGAGGAGCGCCCTTGAGGCTTCTTTTCGTCAGAAGAATCTGGTGGGTGTACTGATCAGCTGTACCAAGACCATCTTACGTCATATACTGGAGTTATTCCACATCTCTCTGGCTGCTGTTTGAAGCTCAGTGACTTGATTCCCACTTGTACAATGACTTCCAAGGAGGTCTCAGGCTAGCAGAATTGAGACTCATTACGTGTTTTGAGGTCATAGTGTAGCATTTTATAATTGGATGCATCCTTTTAAAATACTGCTTGGTGTAGCCTAGAAGACAGGGCTGTTCAGGAGACCTTAGTGCTCCTTTAAATGAGGAAGAGCTCTGCTTTGCTGTTGGAGCAGTATATGCTGAGTACTGTAGAGAGAACTCAGCCAGATTACAAGCAACGGTTATTCCAGCTGTTTGCAAGTTACACCATAGTTATTGCTGCTGTTCCTCCAGGTCCAGCTGAATTTGTTGTTAATGCAGTAACACTTGCAGCTGCTTGGTACTGAGATGAAGAACTAGAAGAAACCAGACTTTAGGAGTTCATTTTTTTCAGTGTACAGTCTAGCTGACTCATATGTACCTACAGCTCCCTCTGGCTATAGGCCTGATTGTAGTATCCAGGTCAAAGTGTTACACAGATTTGGAGAGGGAGTTTATGTACCTACAGCTCCCTCTGGCTGTCTTCTTTTAATATTCAGGTTGCAGTGTTTCACTCCCTTTCCAAGTAATATGTCTTTGGGGAAAGTTAGGAAAAGGCTAGAATAGGGTGATAGTTGTAAATTCCTTACCAAAGCACTTCAGGTGGGAGTGCTGTCACATGTAAGGAATGGTAAGGAAAGGATGCCTTCCACGACAATAAGTAAAATAGGAGAACTAGTGACAATTGATGCAGAGAAGTTGAAGTTGCCAATTTATTTTTTTTTGTCTCAGTTTTTACTCACATTCATTCTTCTCTAATCTCTCAAGTCCCTCAACCCCAAGCCAGAGTCTTGGGGAACAAAATTGTGGCAGTCTGGAAAAGTTCCCAGTGACTTGGAAAAATAGCACACCGCTTTCTAATAAAAGATAATAAGGACAGTGCTGGAACCAGTCATCCTCACCTCAGTGCCTGGTAAGCCTATGGAACACAGATCCTCCTGGAAGCTATGCTAAAATACATGAAAGGCAGGGAGGTAATCAGAGACAGTCAGCATGACTTCATTAAGGACAAATCGTATCTGACAAGTGATATTCTACAATGGAGTGATTGGATCAGTAAATAAGATCTACTGATGTCATCTACCTGGACTTCTGATAATGAATCAGCTGGATGTCTGTGTCCAAAAAGTTACAGTCCATTTCTCAGTGTCCAAGTGGAAATCAATAGCAAGTAACATCCCTCGAGGGTCCATACAAGGATCATACTATTTAATATCTTTGTTACTGTCATAGATAGTGGAATTGAGTGCATACTCAGCAAGTGTGCAGGTGACGTCAAGCTAACTAGTGCTGTTGATTGCTCCTGAAGGGAGAGATGCCCTCCGGAGGGATTGTAACAGGCTTGGGCTGTGTTTCTACACAGGAATTTATGAAGTTCAATAAGGCCACGTGCAAGATCCTGCATTTGGATTGGATAGTCCTCAATGTCAGTAAAGACTGGGTGATGAGTGGATTGCAAGCTGATCTATGGAGAAGGGTTTGGGAATATTGGTGGATGGAGAATTGGATAATGGGCCAACATTTTGTGCTTGCAGCCCACATAGTCAACTGTAATTGTGGAGTTTTGCACCTGGGGAGGAATAACTGCATGCATCAGTGCAGGTTAGGGAGAGGAGCTGGAGAGGAGCTCTGTGGAGAACAACCTGAGTATTCTGGTGGACAGCAGATTGGCCATGAGGCAGCAGTGTGCCCTTGTGACCAAGAAGGCCAGCAGTATTCTGGAACACATTAAAAAGCGTGTGGCCAGTAGATGGAGGGAGGTGATCCTACTTGTCTACTCTGCCCTGGTGAGGCCACTTTTAGAATACTGTGTCCAGTTCTGAGCTCCTTGATTCGAAAAAGACAGAGATCTCCTTGAAGGAGTCTGGAGGAGGCCCGTAAAGATGCTAAAGGGCTTGGAGCATCTCCCTTAAGAGGAAAGGCTGAGCAACCTGAATATGTTCAGCCTGGTGAAAAGAAGGCTGACGTACGATCTGATTAATGATTATAAATATCCAAAGTGAGGTGGAAGGCAAATGGGTGAGGCTTAGTGACAGGACAAAGAGGCTGCCCAGAGAGGCTGTGGACTCTCCTTCTATGGAGAAGACCTGTCTGGATGCATACCTGTGTGCCTTATTATAGGAAACCTTGCTTTGCAGGGGGTATGTACTCAATGATCTCTTGAGGTCCCTTCCAACCCCTGCAATTCTGTGATTCTGTGATTCTGCTATCATGGTCTTCATCAAAAGAAACATGGCCAGCAGATTGAAGGGGGTAATTCTTTCCATTTACTCTGCTATTTTCTGGACTCACCTGGAGTACCACAGCCAAGAGATGGAGTACCTCCAGCACAAGAGATATATGGACCTTTTAGAGTGGTCCTGGGGAGGGCCATGGAGATAATCAGAGAACCGGAGCGCCTCTCCTTTCAGTAGAGTCTGAAACAGTTGGGGTTGATTAGCCTGTAGGAGGCTCAGGGGAGACTGCATAACATGTTAGAATACTTGAAGGTTTCATACAGGAAAGAAGGAGAGGGACTTTTTATCAGGGAATGTATTGATAGGACAAGGAATAAGATAAATAAAAAGAGGATCCATTTAGGGTAGTTACTAGAAAAAAATCGCTAATATTAGAGTGGTAGAATACTACAACAAGCTGCCCAGAGAAGTTTTGGATACCCTTTCCTTGGAAGTGCTCAAGGCCAGGTTGAATGGCTCTTCAAGCAATCTGATCTAATGGATGGTATACCCTGCCCATGGCAGAGGGGTTGAAAATAGATGATTTCTTCCAACTCAAACTATTCTGTGATACGGAAGACATTTTCTCTTATGAGAGTAATAAGACACTGGAACAGATTGCCCAGATAAGTTGTAGATGCACGGTCACTGGAAGTGTTTAAAGTCACGTTGAACAACAGGGCTGTGAGCAACCTGATGTAGTGAAAGATGTCCTGTCCTGTGGCTGAGTGTTGGGTTAAATGGTCTTTGAAGGTCACTTCCTACACAAACTTTTCTGTTATTATTCTATTATTTTTATTGCCCCGTCCTTGGAGGTGTTCAAGGCCAGGTTGGATGGGGCCCTGGGCAGCCTGGCTTAGCATTAAGTGTGGAGGTTGGTGGCCCTGAATGTGGCAGGGGGGTTGGAGATTCATGATCCTTGAGGTCCCTTCCAACCCTGGCCATTCTGTGATTCTATGATTCTGTGTGATTCTATTCTGTGATTCAGTGTGCCCAGTAGAATAAGAAATGAAGATGCCTAGAACAGCAGTGATTGCTGTAGGTAGGAAACAAAACATACAATAAATAAATAAAAATCCAAAACTGTAATCTTAAAATTCAGCTTGGCTCAGGCTGTTGCTTATCTGATCGTATTTGCAAAATGGTACATTTGCCAAAGATGGCATTTAAATACTGGATAAGTAGACAGTAAATTGAGCAACAGTGGTGTTCGGAAAGGGAGAGAGCATGAGCCCTGCAGATGAACATTGAGCTTGGAAGAAGAAATAGGTTTAAGGCTGCAAATCAGAACAGGAGAAGTTCTGTGCTGATGCTTACTTCTGTGCATTTGCAATTCTTTTTCTAAGCCAGTGATTTCCAGAACAACATAGAGAGGTTTTGAACAAGATCCATGTAACAGCAAAGTTAGCTTATATTGTGAGACTGGTGAATAGAGAGGATGTGATCTACCCACAGAAGACAGTGTGCTGGGAGGTCCACCACAGAGGATGGCCAGCAGTAACATGTTGCTTTTCTTTCCAGTTGTGCTAAGTGTGAAAAGCTGATATAAATGTTCCACCCAAAAAGCAGATGTGCCTATGTAGAAGTGGAAAAAGTCTTCTAGAGTGCTCTTCTTTATTGTGTCTTCTAATAATGGTTGCCTCAATTTCATATGTATCCCTTATGCTTTAACTCTTTTCTAGGACACCAGACCTACCTTTTGTCCTTTACTTTATTCCACATTACCCTTATATTTTACCACCCATGAAAGTATACCATGAGGCGAGCTTGAAGAACTGCTATTTTTATTTTTCAGCCAAAAACACACGTTTACATTCACGTCATGAGACACAGGATTCATGGTTACACACGAACTCAAAGTTTCTTTCATGGACTGGACAGTTCTCAGGATGTTTGGCAGTCCCAGTAAATGTAGCTATTTCTGGAACCTAGACAACATATTCTGGCTGTCCTGCCAATAAGCAAGAGGAGAGTTGGAGGTACATACTCTCAACTCTGTGCCCAGCTCCATGGGAATCACACAGTCCTCAAGATAAGGTCCTGTCCCTATTGTTAAGTAGCTGTACTAAAGTTTGTTGGATATATGATCTGTGCAAGGCACCATAGTGAACAAAAATATTGTAATATACATGATAGATATAACATTTTCTAGTAGTCATATAACAATTTTATTTCAAAATTAGTATTAACCTAGTTGGAATTACAATAATATCCCCAGTTCCTCTCCCAAGTCACAGTACATAGTTCATGGTACAATAGGAGAGAAGAGAATTGGCAGTTTGTAACATTTTCAGTCATATGCTTAATCTTGATGCAGTGCAGTATAGCAAACATTAACCTGCTGGAAAAGGGCTTACTTTTTTTTAAGTGACATTTTTTGTACTCTGAAGTAATTCATGGTCTCCGAGCATCCCTACATCATCACACTGAAGGCCATTTCCCTGCTGTGTTTTATGCTGTCCTACTCGACTTGATTATGAGCCAGATCTGTCAATCAAACAGGTAATGGTTCTTAAACTTTCTTCCGGTTGATGGTTTCCTTCTAGTAAAAGTACTAAAGCTCAAGCCTCTTCTTATGCATAGAAGAGTTTTTCTGCTCTCCTTTGGTGCCAAAAATATGATGAAAAATAGCTTCTGACTTAATTTCTCAGTCTGATGGGTAAAAAAGGACTGCATTGGCAACTTCTGCTTATCCCCAGAGGTTGTTGCAAGCATACACTTTCCATGGGGATAGTTGTTTTTCTTTCTTTTTTTTTTTTTTCTTTTCTAAGATGAGATTCATAAAGAGTCAAAGGAATTTATATTTTTTCCCTTTTATGTTCTAGGTTGGTAACTTGATTCATGAAGATAAAGAAGTGTAGATTGCTAGGAAATGTTTTTCTTTTCTATTGAAAAAATTTAAGTTTACTTCCAACAGCAGCTTACTTGGTCACAGCAGCCTAAAATTGTCTGTACTGTTACCAATTGTGTAGCACTAATTCTTGTGAACCCACTTCCTGGCGAAACATTAAAAGAGATACTCCCAGATCAAAGAATGATTGCAAATAAAAATAAATACAACACTTTGTCCTTGGACTTTGTCCATTTGTTTTTATGAAATAAAATAAGCCAGTCGTATCAAGTCAGCACTTTAAATAATTATATTATTTAATTGTTTTATGGCAGGAATTGGCTGCCAGTGGTCAATCTTGTAATATCTAGACAGGCATTTCTGTCAGGCTTTACTGCTCTGGCAGTGCTAGCAGTATACAGTTGATTGACTTTTCTGTAATGAATGCATGAGCATGTCAGCATTGAGTCACTTACCTAATATTGTGCTACTCTCAATTCCTATTAAGACACTTTTATTTTGTCTTTTGGGAATGTAGTTTTTTTTTTTTTTTTTTTTTTTTTTAAAGTGAAATACATGTTCTTGAGAGCCAAACAGGCTCTGGGGCACCTGGAGAACCTCAGTTAGATTGTTCTTCCATTCAGTGACCTGAAAGTTGAAATAAGCAAATCACGTGATGTGTCGAAGTGGCATTTGTTTTAATGGTATATCTAAGAAATAGTTTCAGCATACATGTAACCTATTTCTGGTGTCTGCTAAGTGTACAAAGTACAAGTGTGACAGTTTCCTTCTCTGCTTGGTTCCACATGTGAACCAGCCATGAATAAGTAGAGAAAGGTAGGGCAGCTGTCCTCCCTTTCATGCGGGTAATTTTAGACCTCAGTGTAACAAAGAGTTTTCTGTCAATGCTAGAACACTAAGTACCAACAGTACTAGAATCAGTATAACTAGAATCAAAACCTAGATGTATGCTTATTTGTATAGAGAGAGCATACATATAAAACAACAAAACTGACTCTGAGGGTATCATTTGACACCATACAGAATAAACAACTCAATGCAAATTGTCATGAAAATTAACACAAACATGTAAAACATGGCTTATTAGATCTATAATCAAAGAATTACATGGTGGGGAAAAAAAAGTCAGTACAATGTAGAATGGTCTGTAGTGTGGTGAGATTTTTCTAGTGTTTGGGGATGTACAACTTATAAAGCATTGTTCTACTTGGATAGTTATACTGCTGTGGACTATATGTACTACTTCATTAGAAGTGCATCAGAGAGTACCAGCCTGGCATTTTTGACTGACTAACCATTCCCCCACATGGTAGATCACAGATTAACTTCTCATTCTATCCTCTTTTCTCCTACTTTCTTCGCTTACCCTTGTACCTTTGCAGGCTGTTGTAGGAAGGGCATGATGTGCTGCATCACAGTCTTGGGGTTTATATTTAGTGATCCTTGTGTGTCCCTCGATTAGAGTTGCATCAACAGCCATAACACATTTTGACAGGGTGGTGTAACTACTCTGGTAACTGCATGATTGTCAGAAAAGCCATTCTGTTTTCTTAATCCCATATATCTCTTTTGTGCATCAAGGTCATGGTTCTTCCTGTATTATTAGAGGTTACTGAGATAACCCTCCGTAATTAATTAACATATGGTAGTTCCAATATCACAAGTGACTCCAGGAAGTTATCTTGAGAAGATGGTTTTGAGAGAAATTGTGATAGCCCGTGCTTTCTTCACTTGTGGCAAGTTGTGTCATGAAGCCCATGCAATCAGGATGATGAGGAGAGGTATAACACATCCCACAATACTTTATACATTTTCTTGTTTGCAAATAGTGGGAGTTGCTAAAGAGCATGTCTTGAACGATGGAATGGGCAGGACTTTGCAAGCCAGAGTTTAAATGATTATATGTCCATGATCAGAGATCCATTGTGTTTGCATATATGGCTCATCCTTCTTAACACAAGCCACTGGGAGAGGCAGATGGCTCTTGACAGACTTCCAGCCACAACAGTATCATGACACATATACTGGTCATGTATCATAATGGCAAAAGGAGGAAAACTGCCCCAAGATGCATTTCTTTTTCACCCACATTCTGAAATTGAGGTGCAGATAATTATCCAGCTTGTCCCAGCCTGGCCCTGGTCTGCATCCCAAAGGGCTATTCTAAGTGGCATCCAGTAAATTGCAGAACTCTTCAGGGAACAATGTCTTGTAGGCCCGTTACTGTACAAAACCAACAGTGTGTCTGATAACTTAATCATTGGAAACTGCCCTTCTCCATCTGTCACTTTCTTTAGCATATTATCAAGGAAAACATGGGATTAAACAGAGCAGTCTGCTGTAAGCTTTTGGTCTTTTGCAAACTGCACAGCATTGTGTATACTGTAGAACAGCATTTCTTGCATACTTCCAAAATCTTTCCCAAAGTAACCTCCTCTTTTCAGAGAGTCTATCACTGAGGGATTACAGCAAGCTAAGAGAACAGAAATATTTAACTCCTTGTAGTCTTTTAGAATTTCCTTTAGAGTATTAACTCCAGTGGTGTCCAAAAATGGGACGGACGAACAATCTACAACAAGGGCTTGGAAGTCAATTTGCTTAGGGACTAGTTGCAGAGTGGTGTCTCTGTTGCCCAGTCCGTTAACAGTTGGTTGATTTTCTTTTTTCAGATGCTGCTTTTCCTTCTTCTCATATTTCTTCCTTCTGGCAGCTTCTAAGTTAGGATCTAGATCTGTCAATCTGTACAGAGACTTTAGGAAATAGTTTCTGTTGGCATAATAGAGTGGTGCCTCGAAACGGAATATTTTGACCTTTGGAACAGAAGAGAGATTTTCATATTCTAAGTCATCCTCATAAAAGTTGGTATCTTGGATTTGACCAAGCAGGGCTGTCCGTGGCTGCTGTGTCCGAACAATGATGCATAACATGGAGAAAACAATGCCAACTAATAGCCCTATTTCTGTGCTGATCAAGGCAGAGGCAGATACAGTAACGACCCAAACCACTGTGTCCACCTTATTCACATGGTACCGTGCTGGCACATCTCGGAACTTTCTTAGAGCTCCTCGAAGGCTGACAATGATGATACAAGCCAGGACGCACTTCTGCAAGGAGTAGAAGAGAGGTGCCAAGAAGAGTAGTACCAGCAGAACCACCATTGCACTAATCACTCCAGAGACTTGAGTCTGGCAGCCTGTAGATGTTTTCACAAGTGTTTTCGCCAGAGCTGCACTTGTTGCAAAAGAGTGGAAAAAAGAGGGAATGATGTTGCAGAACCCTACAGCAAACATTTCCTGATTGGCTCGGATAGTGTAAGCATATTTCTTTGCACACATTTCAGAAAGGGATACAGTGAAGACAAAGCTGACTACAGCAAGAGGTAAGGCATCTACAGCAACGCGGATCATTAAGTCAAAACGTGGTACCTTGGGGGCAATAAATCCTGTTGGAATAGCTCCGGAGACACTGGATGAATACACTTCATTTAAGTTTCCATAATGTGACACTAGTGTTGCCACAACAATAACTACCAGCTCTGTTGGAAGAGGGAATTTCAGCTTATGCTTGTAACGATCTCCCAGTTCCTTAGCAGTAACCAGCACAACAATACAAATGGCACTTGTAATGATATCACAAATGTTAGCCTGAGAAATGTTCCTGAAAATGTTAATCCAAGTAATAACAAGCATCCCGTGCCCTTGGCTACGTGGGATTTTTATTCCAATCAAATACTTCACTTGAGCTGTTAAAATTGTTAAGGAAGCGCCAGTTGCAAAGCCATCTAGAACTGATTCAGACAGGTAAATAGATACAAAACCCAGACGAAAGACTCCCATTAGAACCTGGGGAGACACAAAAAAAAAAAAAAAAAAAAAAAAGAGAAAAAAAAGATAAGCCTTAAATGATACTATGATACTGCAAGTACAGATGAGAGAAAATAGCTGGAGGCAGATAGCATTTGGCTAGTTGAAAATTAAAGTAGGAGTTATCCTTTAGTGTTTCCAATCTGCTTTTAAAACATGATTCCCGATACAGTTATGGGATACTACAAAACCAAGGGATGAATTAGAAATTTGAAAAATAATCAATTTGAACTTCCTAACTCCAATATTATTCTGAAGTAAGTCCAGTGTAGTGGCTTGTCAGAATTTTATTTCCTAAGCCTAAGAGCAGTGGATCAAGAAGTGCTGCTATATAAACATTTTTTTCTTTTCTTTTTTTTTTCTGACTGAAAGCGATTACAGTTACAACTTGTAGACTGTTTTGTAAAGAGAATTTGAGTGACAACAGTGACAACCCTAACCCTAAGTTCTCTGGTGATGTGGTGATGTGGTTACATTAAGCAGCTTTTGATGTCAGCCTTGTGAACAGAAGGGAAAGTACAACAAGGCCTTTATGGCATGCCTAAGATCAACAATGGCAGAAGAGACCACAAACTTTCACACATCTGAGGATATTGTCCTAACTAGTTGCTGCTGCTTCTTTTGATTGCTTTAGAAAATACAGCTTTGTTTTGTTGTTCATGTACATGACTTGAAAGGGAAGGTCTTCCCTCTTAAATTTTATGCAGACAATTCACAGATATGTTCATGGTGCTTCCTTATGTGTTCTCTTGATATCCTTATGATATGGACAGCATATTGGTGAGTGTCCAACAGTCCAACAAACCACTATCTGAAAGTTAGTTTAGTCCACTTCCTCATTTCCTTTCTGCTTTCTTTCCTTTCTGACTTATCACTGGACAGTGCTATGGTACAACATAGCACTTGGTAGTGAAACACTGAGCAGTGTGTTCTGAGCTAATGTAGAAGTAGGTGGATGAGCCTGCACCTTCATTAAAATATCTAGGGAGATAACATTCTTTAGAATCACAGAATCATTTTTTTATTGTTGAAGTACATAGGTACTTCAGAATTTCCCTCGTGACGAGATTTGTATTTGATTCACAGTCCCATGAAATCAGCATGACTGATATAGTAGAGTGTTAAAGCAGTGTTACTAGTCTTGCAAAAGATTTATTTTACTTGTGCTTGCTTGTAGCTGATAAAACTGCCTACGTCATGTTTTCTCTGAATTGTCTGCAGAGTTAGGCTTCCTGGAGAAAACAGTCACAGAATCACAGAATCACAGAATCACAGAATCACAGAATGGCCAGGGTTGGAAGGGACCTCAAGGATCATGAATCTCCAACCCCCCTGCCACATGCAGGGCCACCAACCTCCACACTTAATGCTAAACCAGGCTGCCCAGGGCCCCATCCAACCTGGCCTTGAACACCTCCAAGGACGGGGCATCCACAACCTCTCTGGGCAGCCTGTTCCAGCACCTCACCACTCTCTGGGTAAAGAATTTCCCCCTGATGTCTGACCTAAATCTCCCCTCCCTCAACTTAAAACCGTTTCCCCTCGTCCTACAAATATCAACCCTTTCAAAGAGTTGATTCCCCTCCCCACTGTATGCTCCCTTTAGGTATTGAAAGGCTTCAATGAAGTCAACCCACAGCCTTCTTTTCTCCAGGCTGAAGCTCAGCTTCCTCAGCCTGTCCTCATAGGGGAGATGCTCCAGTCCTATGATCATCCTAGTGGCCCTCCTCTGGACCCTCTCCAACAGCTCCTTGTCTTTTTTGTACTGCGGGCTCCACACCTGGACGCAGTACTCCAGATGGGGCCTCACAAGAGCAGAGTAGAGGGGGACAATCACCTCCCTGTCCCTGCTGGCCACCCTTCTTTTGATGGACCCCAGGATACCGTTTGCCTTCCAAGCCGCAAGAGCACACTGTTGGCTCATATTAAGTTTTTCATCTATCAGGACCCCCAGGTCCTTCTCCACAGGGCTGCTTTCAAGGACTGCTCCTTCCAGCCTGTACGGATGCCTGGGATTCCTCCCGTCCAAGTGCCAAAAAACTTTGTACTTTGCCGTGTTGAACCTCATCAACAGCCTCAAAGTCCAGGATTATTCAAGTGAAATGATACTTGTAGTTAACAAAATACGCAAGTTAGAGATGTAGTCAACGAAATACGTAAAGCAGGGGCTGTCAAGGTCACCAGGCGTAACCAGGCGCAATCTGTGTGGGCCCCTTGTGTGGTTAGCTAATACGTGAAAGGGGGGCTGTAACAGTCATCAGCCTCTGCGGGGGCTCCTTGACTCATCAGAAAACCATGATGAGACATGGCAAGACAAGACATGCCACACGTCTATTGGGCACAGATAACCGTAACATGGGTGATTGGTAGCACTGTGATATAAGGGACAACTATAAGAAGAGTGTGTTGCTTGCAATAAGTGCCATTTGCCGCTCACCACATTGGTGTCATAAAGCTTGTGATTTGGCCGGGGCTGTCTGAGCACTTCACGACGGGACATTAATCAGAGGTTGCCAAAGCAAAGGCAACAGATACTGTGGCTCTCATGGAAGGACAGTTAGAACTTAGGTCATGCAAGAAAGCTTTAGGAATTTCATAGTTTGTCTCTGAATATCAGCAACCACTTACCTGATACACTCCAGCCACAAATGTCAGGGCTGTAGCAATGCCTATAGCATAGCATTCTTTTCCACATTCAGCATTCATCCCCTCAGTGGTAAGATTGAAGACAGTTATGTTGGACTGGCTGTCAGTCTGCAGGGAGCCATGACCCAAGGCTGGTGTGGCGTCATCATTTAAATCAAAGCCAGCTAAGAGAAGTTCTCGGTCCACAACTTGTCCCACCATTAAACTTATCAAGCTGAAAATGCCAACTGAGACGTGACGAGATGTGCCCATTAAGAAATAGATGATGTTGGCAAAGAAAGATGTGTAAAGACTGTAAATGGGCTTCAGGCCTGCCAGTAGTGAGTATGCGATTGCTTGGGGCACCAAAATGATTCCAATCACTAATCCAGACATAACATCACCCCAAATGTACTCTTTGCACTGGTACTTGGGAAGCCATCGTAAAACAGGAAAGAAGTCCATTACAAAGTTCTTCAGTTTCCTTGGTGTGCAGGAGAAACTCTTCCTCAGCTTGGCTAGCACAATCTCTTTCCTGTTCGCCTTCACACGAGTCTTTCTTTCCATGAAAAAGCAGGAAGAAGTGTTTTCCATCTTCGTAGCCTCATGTGGTCTTTCCATTGTCTTAGTGTTTACTTCATGTATCTTTTCCTGCAGTGTGAAGAAAATGCCTCTTAGAGTGGAGCTAGTGAATGTTTTTTTTAGCACAGATGTATAATAATAATAGTTCATCCTCCTTAATAAAGCTTTTCAGGAAACAGTATCCCAACACAGGGCTCTGGTGGCTGGGCACACAGCACTAAGAAACAAATCTTTAGATCGATCAAAACCTTTTGTACAAAACCTTAAATATGTCTCTGATTGAATCCAATTTGTTTTACTAAGAAAAAAAAAAACTGAGTTAAAATAGTCATTTCTTTGTATGACAGATAATTCAGCTCTTCCAGATGCTGCATCATAATAGTCTCTGTCATAAAGGTCTCAGTTGTAACAGGCAGCAGTTGATGGTGTAAAATAAGCACATAGTACTGGGATAGTCTGTGGTCTTTCTAATAGTGTATTTCTAATAATGTACTGATTTGGTATTCATGTGTGTTATAGTGATCTGTCACTGCAGATGTCCTCAGCACACAGTGGGTGGTTTTTGCTGGTAGAACCTGCAAAAACAGAGTTCCTTGGGGTGCAACAATTTAGTCTCAGGTAAAAAACTGTGCACAAACCACTGATGACTCTTAGAAATTGTCTGTAGTTCTAATAACTGCTATGTAACATCCGGAAGTGTGATTGATAAACAAATGCATGCATCGCCAAGCCTGTAAGCTTTCTAAATGTAGGCACCCTTAATAGAGGGTGGTTCATTATAAAGTATTTTATGTTTGTCCTGCTTAAGGTGTCCTGCTTATGAACCTTTTCCAGCTTTTAACAGATATCTTTTGTCAGGAAATTGAAAGCAAAGATAAATGATGTGCATGGAGCCAATGCAAAAGTCTTTAAAAAGATATTCAAGGTATTGTTTTGAATCACATAATGTAAGTACTATGGCCATCCAGAGTTTAATACATCTTGAAACAGGGTGTTTAAATATTTAAAGTATGTAGCTCATAGTATGCCAAAAGGCAAAAAAGAGATTATTGTTGATGTGTGAAGTGGTTGTCCAAACTGATAATAACCTGCATGGTAGTTTAAATATATTTTTAAAGATTACTGGATTTATATCCATCCCAGTTACATTAAGTAATCTTTGACTCCCACTGTGTACATTTCTTTGCTATAGCTTCTTTCCATCACAAAAGAAATAACAGTTCTAGTGTAATTATTTAGAAAGATCTATGTCAGTTTCTAGTTGTATTGTCAAATATAGTTTTGACTGTACTGTATTGAGAGGTTATGCTAGGCAAGACATTCCTAGATGGCAAAGCTAGATCTAACCTTCATTAGAATGCAAAGGTGAGAGAAAAGAGAGAAGTTACAGCACTAAGAAGATTACTTAAGAGCAAATAATTAAAGTTTGTAGAATACTAAATGCTAGAAACTGTAATGAAGACACTCATTTAAAAAGATGCAGAAAAACAGTGCTTCCTCTCTTACCTAGATCAGTTTGAGAGTCTTGTACTTGAGGACTGCAAGTTCTATGCAAATGCCACCTACTTCTTAAAGCCAAGTGAATTCAGACAGCCAAGAAATAAATACAGTGGCCTTGTTTAACATAGTTACAAGCTACTGGGCAGTTCAGTATCCAATGCTCGCTTTTGATAGGCTACTTAAAAGAGATTTTATTGGCTTCTGTACTCCAGGCTCAGATGCTTAATTGTACAGTTACTGTCTGCTGTCTTCTGATCTTGCAGAATTTACTTACAAATAAATTTGTATTAAAAAGAAATCAACAATAAAACAGCAAAACAAAACAGCATTAACAGACATTTACAGTCTGTGCAGCTTCCTGAGGGGATAATAGTAGCTTTCAATACATAATATTTTTAGAATAGAGTTTCTCTGTTAAATCTGTTAAGAGATAATGTGTATGTGTGATAATTTTGTAGTATGTCTTGGCTGTACTATATTATCTGTATAGTATCTGCTCTGCTGGACAATCAGAATGGTAGTTTGTTGTAAACTAAAAAGCTTATTTGGGAAAAAAAAACACCCTATGTATTCTTTCACAATTTTAGCCTAAGGTTAAAAAACCTTCCTCATGGAAAAATGTTTTTAAGTTAAAATGCAAATACTAACATGAGATCCTTTTCTTCAGTTCTTTTTCCTCTGAAAATAAGGACTTTCTTCCTGTAAACAACTATTTCTTCTGCTAGATGTATTTTCAAACTGCAACATCAAATGAACAGGCTAGCTGTAAAACAACTCTAAAATGAGTTTCCATTTTTGGCAGGTGTTGTTAATGATTATAGTTTAATTGAAGCTTTTAGAATGTAGTAAAGCCACAGCAAATAATGTAGGGGATGTTGTTACCAGCGAAACATTTTTCAGCTATGTAACCCAAGAGTTCTTAGACTGCCAGTAGTTCAGCAATAACTTAGTTGCTTCAATGGAAGGAAATGGCATTCCACTGTGAATAGCAGCTATCACCCTTACCTTTGTGTGGCCTAGTAGAGAACTGGGAACTTTCAGTGCTTTTGCCTGCTCCAAAAACAGGATGGGAAAGGACAAATCTGTATACTCCTTGCATGAGTGACTAGCCAGCTGATTCTGGCACTGAGATATAACACCATCCTTCCTCAGTGGTAATACTTGAGCAGTATTCAGGCAGTAAAGGTGTTAATAAACAGACTCCTCTGCCGTTCTGCTAAAGTGACTTTTCAGTTCTGCCCATGCTCAGTGGTTTGTAGGAACAGGGACAACACATGTTTCCAGCTGCCTTTTACCCTACCAAAGCTTCAGAACATACTATTTGCCTTTATTCAAGCAAAGGCTTCCCATCATTTACTGAAAGAGCTGTTCTTAGTGGAAACATGCAAATGAAGCATGATATAGAACAGAACGTGTTCATTTTTTGCATTTAGCTTAGATATTGGAACATTCTCAATTGTTTACTACATGTGAAGTCTACATGCTGCATGTATGACCTATTCATATTGTATCAAAGTAATGGGTAATTTTTGATGTTTGGAATCTAAAAGGCTTTTTTCAAATTGTCCAGGGTAATATGAGCAAAAAGCATAATTTTCTGTTTTAGCCTGAACCTATCATTTCATCAGGGTAAATGCAGTGACTCAGTTTATCTTGTGAAGTAGTGAAGCAAAGCAAAGAATCAATCAAGCTGAACAAACTACTGAATTTCCAACTGGCATTAGTCCTGTCTTTCTTCCTGTCTTTTCACCATACCATGGAACTGACAAAAGCTCTCTCAATGAGAGGAAGCATTCATCACAACACATTCAGTGGGATTTATCTTGACAGATTTTCTGACAGGCAATCCCTGATGGGACACATTCTCCCTGAGTTGTTTTCTATGGAGCAGCACAAGCTGAAAAAAAAGAAAAAAGTATACTGATGCATCCTTTTCTTTCTCCATCATGATCTTCTTCCACAAACCAAAAAATAAAAAAATGAAACTGTGTATCTGAAAAGCACACGAGGGAAAAGCAAGATAAGCCTGCTTCTCTATGCTAAAGTGATCTTAGAAAATCTGTATGTTGGGCAGAAATCACAATTCTGCACTAGCATCACTCTTGCTGTAACAGTAACTGCCATTGTAAGACGGGATGAAACCCTGTGTATGATTCAAGAGAATTGTTGATGCTTGCATTTTTTTTGTGTTCAGTGAAAGATCAGCTAAAAGGTAGTATGGGTGGAGCAAGTTTTGCATTTATAGTCTGAAATTTCATTGTAGTTCTGTTGCATAAATCACAGAAAAAACAAGACACCTCACTTCATCTAAGTATTTGATTTAAAATGTGTTGGTGTTGAGCTCAATCAAGTTCATATTATTTGTACTCCATATCAGCAGCCTTTTCTGCTTATAAGAAACCTCTCTTGAATTCCAAGTGACTGTGACTACGTTACTGTTCTGTTTCTGAGCATTGGCATAGTTTTGAAAAAAATTTCCAATAGCTTCACCTACTGTGCATTGATTCAATGTGGAGAGGAGTGTTATGCATGCAAACCAGCCTTTTTCAAACGAAAATACACAGAAGCTTTGCCCCTGTGTATCCTGATTTGTGGAGATAAATAAAAAAGCCTGATTTGAGTAGGTGTGGTAAGGACCTGAACTAGACTGAAATAAAATCATCTGAACTGCTTATAATACAATACTGTTTCAGCATTTGCTGCTTTGATTTATTAAATTTTTATTGTACAGAATAACTTGGAAACATTGATGTAGATAATAAGTTTTAGAAACAAACCAGGAAAAGTTAAATGAATGTTTCCTTCTGTCTTGTATAAGCAATTGTGTTTTCAGCATTTGACAACCAGGGCCTAAATGTGCTTGGAAGCAAACTTAAGTAAGGTGCCCACAACCAAAACCATTTATTTAAGAGCTGACTTAGGAAATTTTCCCACTCTAGGCCAAGAATACTGCGGTGCTTTTGAAGAAAAGCATGTGAAACTTGATGGGAACAGTTTATTTTGACTAATTGGGCAAGCTGCCATGGCTTTAGAGCATTTTTCTATTTTGTTTCAATTCTCTGCTTATATGAAGGTGAAAGAGAAAAAAAATATTAAATATTTTATTATATATAATATAATATAATATAATAATATTTTATTATATATAATATAATATAATATAATATAATATAATATAATATAATATAATATAATATAATATAATATATAATAATAATATATATAATAAAATATATATAATATATAAAAATATATATATATTATATAATTATTATATATATAATTATATTATATTATATACAATATAATATATATTATATATTATATAATATTATTATATAATACTATATATAAAATTTATAAATATTATATAATACAGTTTCATATTTATAACTAAAATCTCAAAATCACAGTTTTTATTTCTGGCTCTAAATCTAATCTAGTATTTCCAATGCAATTTAAGATCTTTTTCAAATGTATGCATTCAGAAAATATTTGATTCAATTCCTGTTTCTCCAAAGGATTGATCCTTAGTACAGTGCCTTAGTGAGAAAGAGGACTACCACTGATGCTTAAAGATCCCAGAGGTGGTATGCAGGCCAGAAGAGAAATGGCACAGTCAAACAGCAGCTATTTTTTAAGATCATTCATGGGAATGATCAGACCTTGGAAATAAATAAAAAGGTAGTTGGAGTGGTTCTCCAGGAACTATTTTTGTTCAGGGTTTCCAGAACGTGCTGATCAAAATACAGGGAAAATTGTCTTGTTCTCCTGGAGAGTCCTAGGGTGTGACTGCCAAAGGGGCATTTTCTATGGGGACTAAAGAGCATTCTGTAAGATCAGACTTCTTTCTTTTGGAAAGGTAGCTGATCCAAAGTGAAAGTCTGTTTTTTAAACAAGTCTTCCAGTATAGCTCTACCAAGATCTTCGTCTTCAGTTGCAGTGCTAAACAGAAAACTGTTTTCTGCCCTATGCTTTTGCTGGATGCCTTCTCCATGGCTGTTATGCCATTTTAAGCTGTTGTAGAGAAAAATAAGTAGATAGCTCATACTCATGTTTTTTTCCCCATTATCTTCGTTGATATCTTAGGTTTACTAGAACCAATACAGATGATATTTATGGTTTCTTTCTCTTACCTAACTGCTCTGAAGATGCTGTTTTACTAATAATACTCTTTGAACCAGCCAAGCTTCATATAGTACTTATATTTACAAATAAGAACAAGCCAAATACCCAGTATTAAACTCTTAGACCAGGTTTGTAGGAAAGTTTAGTTCTATTCCAGTTGCAGACTACAATTTTCAAAGACCTTTGTTCAGTATCTATCTTATGAATAATATCTATGAAGCACAGAATAATGGAAAACTTACAAATCAGCATCAGTGTACAAAATAAATGAAAAAAGAAGTTTGGCACACTTGAGAACAGGCATAGAATGAACAAAAACTGAGTTTAGAGGTGAAAGGGAAGGCAAGACTCTTACCTGAATAACTTTTTGACAGAAATGTTCAGCTCTGTTTTTGCATGTTGGAATGAATGAAAGTCGTCAAGCTGGCTTTGATCTATTTGCATAAATGATAATCATTAACTAGGCAGTCTTCGAGAGGAATTGGTAGTTAAGGAATCTTCAGCTTTCTGCTTGGTAGTGTGCTGTCACTTGTACTTCTCTGAAAACTTGGATATACGTGCAGCACTCACTGACTTTGAGTTTAAATACTACGTGAGATTATTAATTAACTAATAGTGATCCAAAAATTATGCTGAGTTCAGGCTAGCACATTTCTGACCTTTGAAGCTGATTCTTATTTGAGATTTTCTCTGCTTTATGCATTGTCATACAGCATTAGCTTTTAATTTTATGTGTGGCACAGGAGTTGAACTGCAGTCTTGTCTGAGATTTTGTGCATTTCATGGTCTGGGGTATTCTTCTGTTCTTTGCTGAGAACAGGACTACTGGAGGTCAGAGTTCCATTCCTCCAGGTCACTGCATTTAGATCACAAGATCTCTGTTATTTGTGTAAACAAGAGACTGTAAAATGTAGGCAGGTCAGTGGGACAAAGACTGTGTTCATTGTGTGTAAAGTGTATAAATGATCATGTCACTTCACCAAGGTTGTGCCTGACCAATCTAGTGGCTTTCTATGATGGAGTGGTGGACAAAGGGGAGGCAAGTGATGTCATCTACCTGGCTACCTGTAAGGCCTTTGACATTTTTCCCCACTAAACACTTATCTCTAAATTGGAGAGATACGGAGATATGGGAGGGTAGAATGTTCGATGGATAAGGAATTTGTTGGAAGGTCACAAGCCAGAGAATTATGGCTAGTGGCTTTACGTCCCGGTGCAGGCAGTGTCCCCCAGGGTTCTGTTTTGGGACCGGTAGTCTTTTTATAAGTGACATAGATGATGGGTTTGAGTGCATCCTCAGCAAGTTTGCTGATTACACCACAGTGAGTGTTACAGTTAGCAGAAGGAAGGGATGCTATCCAGAGGGACCTTGATAAACTTGAAAGGTGGCCCATGTGAACCTAATGAGGCTCAGTAAAACAAAGTGCAAGTTTTTGCACTTGGATTGGGATAGTCCCAGATGTGTGTACAGACTGGAAGAAGAACTCCTTTAGAGTAGCACTGCTGAGAAGGACTTAGGTGTCTTGGTAGTTGAAAAACTTAAGATGAGCTAGCAGTGCGTGCTTGCAGCCCAGAAGGCCAACAGTTGCGTGTGCTGTAACAGAAGAGTAGTGGCCAACGAGGAGAAGGAGGGGATTGTCCCTCTCTAGTCTGCTCTTGTGAGACCTGGAGTATCACATCCAGGTCTGGGGCTCACCACGCAGCAAAGATGTCAGACTTTTGGAAAGAGTCCAGAGAAAGGCCAGAAGGGTGGTCATA